TTTGAGTCCTGCCAACAGGTGGGAAATGTTCACTTAACAATTAAAAACAAAACAAAACAAAAAAACCAAAACATAAAACATTGCCACTTTCCTCTACAATCCTCTGTCTCCTTAGTCTCCCATCTGTAATGTTTTATGTTTTACTTATTGATTATTTCTTTGTCTGCCTCTCCTCTGGAAGTTCCTCAAGGCAGAGGTGTTTATCTGTGTTATTTTTTAAAAAGAGACTTTATTTATTTATTTTTAGAGAGATGGGAAGGGAAAGAGAAAGAGAGGGAGAGAAACATTGATGTGTGAGAGAGAGATACATCCATTACTTACCTCTTGCACGCTCCCAGCTGGGGACCTGGCCCACAACCCAGGCATGTACCCTGACTGGGAATCGAACCGGTGACCCTTTGGTCTGCAGGCTGGTGCTCAATTCACTGAGCCTCTCCAGCCAGGGCTAAGGTGTTTATCTCTTTTGTTCCTAGGACAGTACCTGGCACATAAAAGGAGTCAATGAATATTTGCTGAATGAATGATCTACTGGCACTACTGAAGATGTGGGGAGACAGGAACCTTTCTCATATAGACAAAAATCTGCTGGTACTTGGTGAAAACGATTAAGGGTAGGCCTTTGGATCCAGTAGTCCTGCTCAAATATTCTGGGGATGTCTCCTCTAGGTAGGAAGAAGCATGCCCCCCGTCAAAATTTAGAACAAGAGACCATACCCAAGACAGGAATTGGGAAGGTCTTACGGGGAGCTCTACTCCCTGTGTTGTCAAGAAAGCCCTATAGGATCCAACATGTTTACAATGCAGCTCTGTGGTTGTACCAGCCCATCCCCTTAGCTTTCTTTGCCCCTCTCCAAAATACTTTCTCCATCTTTGTCCTGGCATGAACGTCCACATGGCTGGCCATGGCTGCCCACACTGGATCATATTTTATTTTATTTTTTAAATAAATCCTTTTTGGTGATGAAATAAATACCTAGTTGACTTTTGTTTGTGGTTGACACCCCAAATGGTCATTGCATCATGGCTTGGGTAGTGAAAAGAATAAGGTGTGTTCCTCACTGGGGGACTGGGTCATTGACACGGTGGATGGAAAAGTGGTGCTCAAATAAATCACAAAGTTCCAGCTGGGCAGGGCCTGGGGAGCAGTCACACCCGGCACCTATCACTTCTTTAGTGAGAAGTTTTTCAGGCAGTCCTCTCCATTGTTTTCGTGCATCCAGGTTAACCTGCCTTTGAAATGCCAGAAGTAATGCCCCTTGAAGGTGTAACCATCCTCAACAGAGCACATAATCTTGTTAATTTTCCTGTAATCTAATGCCTGCCTTGCTTTCTCCTACTTTCTTGTAATCTTCCTTAGTTCCCTCCTTAATTTATTTTTTGTTATTTGAGAGAGAGACAGAGGGGGAGAGAGAGAGAGAGAGAGAGAGAGAGAGAGAGAGAGAGAGAGAGAGAGAGAGAGGGAGAGAGAGGGAGAGAGAGAGAGAAATCATCGGTTTGTTGTTACACATATTTATGCAATCATTGACTTATTCATACATGTGCTCAGACTGGAGATAAAGCCCTCAACCTTGGTGTGTTGGGATGACACTCTAACCAACTGAGCTACCTGGCCAGGGTTTTACTCTCTTCATTTCAAATGCATAAAAAAGAGCTGCAAAACTGTTATTCCCCACAGCATTTGAGATCTTGCTCTCCAGCACGTGTGGTCATTTTGGCTCCAATAAACTCTCAACAAACATTCTCTGCCGGTCTGGACGTTTCAGATGGCGACACCATGGCTGGGTGCCCCTCAAACTTCAATATGCACTGAGTCCTCTGGGGGTTTTGGCAAAGTGCAGATTCTGCTTTTAGTTGGTCTGGGCTGGGGGGGTCCAAGACTCAACTCCTACTAAGTGTCAGGTGGTTACAAGTCTGCTGTTTTGGGGACCACGCTATGAGAAGCAGGGATAAGACTAGAGAAGGGCGGTCCAAGAGGACTTCCCTCGGTGATGGAATTTTTTTATTTATCGGCAGCACACAATACGGCTGCCACCGGCCACACAGGGTTATCGAGTGCCAACGTGTTGCTGTGCAACCTAGGAATGGAAATGCAACACGTGTTGAATGGAGCTAATCTTAATTTTAAAATGACCACAAGTGGCTAGTAGACCGCACAGGTTGCGAAGACTGTGGCCGCTAGAAACAGTAAGCTAGATGAGCAAACAGCAGTGTGGATAGGTTGACACTGTGTGGTGGGATGAGGTCACCGTTTTAACACGGCGACCTGACTCCTCACCCACGCTCACTTTCCTGGGTACCCTATTTTATCAAATCTAAAATACTGTCAAGGTAAGAAACATCTAAACCTGTAAATGAGTTTTGTGAGAGTTGACGGCAGCCAGACTAAAGACATATGCTGGGGAGCAAAATTGCAAATGCTCCTGAAAATGAAAGTTTTCAGGGTTCTTTCTTGCATTTGAAAATAAGGAGGGAATGAAGGAAAGTAACATGGAGGTGGGAGATGACGAGGTGAGGATTGTATGGTGTGCTTTCTTGAGGGTTAAGGACCCCTTCGACAGGTGTGACTTCTGGCATTTCAAAGATGTATGTGCTCACGTAGGTGCACAAGAACAACGGCCAGGGCTGGCTTAAAACCTTTCACTAAAGAAGTTACATGCCTGGGACTTGACTACCCACCATGACCTGCCCAGTTGGGAATTTACGATGAGATCCCTCTGAGAGGTTACTTTCTGTAGAGCCCCCTTCCCTTTTTTTGGTCCACAATGCTGTGGATTGTATTTGCACTTTTATTTTATATATCAGTAAGAAAGAAAAAAGGGATATGGATTAAAGTGTGACATAATGCCAAATTAGTTGGAATATACCTTCCACTTTTAGAAACGTTAAGAATGTGAAAGAGCCCTGGCTCTGTGGCTCAGTTGGTTGGAGCACTGCCCTATACACCAAAAGGTTGCAGGTTTGATCCCCAGTCAGGGAGCATACAGGAGGCAACTGATGAATATTTCTCTCTCACATCTCCCTCTCTCTCTCCCTCCCTTTTTCTTCTCTCTCTAAAAATCAATAAAACACTTCCGGCCAAGATGGAGGCGTAGGTAGACACACTGTGCCTCCTTGCACAACAAAAACTAAGGACAACAAAAATTTAGAAATAAAAATCAATGAAACATATCCTTAAGTGAGGAGTAGAAAATAATAATAACAAAAATAAATAAAAATGTGAAAGGAATGTGCATGCCAGAAGCAATAAAATATGGTACTCCATCCTCAACCACCACAGCTGGAAGTGTGGGCTAGAAATCAGATTAAAGAATCTTTAAAGTATGTTTACTTAGCTTTAGAGAGGGTTGCAGGCCAAGAATTATAGCAGAGCTTTACCCTCATCACACTCAGGATCTGCAGCTTCCCAAGTACAAGGCTGCTTGTCTTCCCTTCCGGGCCCCACCCCCACCCCAGAGCTTGTTGGGCTGCTGTCTGTAGGCACCACACTGTGCCTATTTGGCCTCAACAGAAGGTGGAGGCTCTATGTCCCAGCAATCTCTGAGCAGCTGTTGTCATGAAGGCCCCAGACCTGCCACCTCAGAACGCTCTGATTCTGTGCTGTCCCCCCAGCACAGCAGTGGACACTGGTGAAGCCACACTGTGTGCCACTCTGTTCAAACACGGCAGCACCCAAGCACAGAACTGTGAGCAGATGGACGACAACACGATCGTCAGGCTGTTCCTGGGCTGACCTGTGCCGTAGTGTGTCGATGAGGGTTTAACAACAGCTCTCTGGCCTGTGCTGTTGCTAATTTCTGTGGTGTAAATACTGCCGCTGGGCTGATACCCACCTACTAATGCAAAGTCAACTGACACAGAATCAGAAGCCCACCATTATAGATGTAATGTGGTAGGCACAAATAACTTCAAAGCATGGCTATTGGTAAAAATAATTAGGAACTGATGAATTTCGAGTACTATGAACTTCCTTTTTTTCTTTTGAAATTTTATATGTTTATTTGAGCCTAATTAAAAACATGCTTAGGAGCAAGTTACTCTTGGACTTTGTTTTTTTAATATACCTTGTTTAATTATAAGTTTATGTAATTTAATTTTTAATGATGGCTGTGTTTAGCAACCTGCTCTCAAAATTCCTGAAAACTTGCCAATAGTCTCTTCTGGGCTGGTATGAATGAGTTGGCTCCAGCACAACTGGGCCCGATGCCTGGCCCAAGTTTATTGACGTTTTTACTCACCGGGGACTCTCTACTTTGCTTTTAAATTATGTGTATTGTTTCTTGTCCATCACCTCCTGCTAGAATGTAAGCTCTGTGAGGAGAAACATTTAGTTTTGTCTGGCTTGTTCGCAGCTCCACTTTCTAGAGCAATGCCTGTCGCAAGGCAAGTTCAAGTTCGAGATAAGTACACCCATGCCTGGTGCATAGTAGGTGCCCGATAAAACAGTTGTTGATGAACGAAAGTAAGGAGGGAAATGAAATTTGTAGCACGATGGTTTCCTGTAAATGAGGAGCAAGACAAGGCAACCAGGCACTGGCATTCAGGTGCATGGCATCTGAGGCCACTGGTGCCGGAGGCTGTGGGGAGGGAGGAGAGCAGGTATGACAGGTGGAAATAAAACCAATATAACGATAGCAGGGCTCTGCCAGGACTTGAACTTCGGAACATGATTAACTCAACTCTCTTCACCTGAGATCTGATTTAAAAAAAAAAGAGGACTTCTGTATTTGCATAGGGTTTTCCAGGAAACAGTGCGTCTTTGCCCTCCCTGCCCCGGGCCTCTGCACTCTCCTCCGCTGGCAGGACCCAGCCGGGAGGCGGGGCCGCGCTGCAGAGCCCGGAGGTCTCCTCCTTCACACAGGACACAGTGGCTGGGAGAGCGGATCGGGAACCACGGGCGTTCCACTCAGCCAGCCTTAGACCCAGCTCCTAGCTGTGTGCCAGGGAGCTGCTGTGTGCCTCTTGGGTGAACGAAATGAACAGAAGGATGGGGTTTAGGGTGATTCCGTTTTTATTATCACGTTTCCGGGTTTTAGAGACACTAAATCTTCTTTGGAATTGTTGCTGGTTTGGTGCCTTCGGGCTCCTGCCCGCTGTGCTGTGGGGGGTGGGGAGACAACATCCAAGGGGCCGCTTTGGGAGTGGGGGGAGCTCTGGGCCAGGGGTCGGGGCCAGGATGTTGGGGGCTTGGTATCCAGGGTCTGAGGGAGCGAGGGATAGGGGCCAGGGCCCCTGGGTCTCAGGTGGAGCTTGCAGGCCTGGGCAGCAAGTGGGCAGCGATGTCCTGTCAATCCGGCAGTCAGCCACCCCTCATGGTTTGCTGGATCCAGCTGTAGTACTTGCAGAGGTTGGTGTAGACTCCGGGGTAGCCAGGCAGGGCGCAGCGCTCCATCCCCCAGGACACAAGGCCCTGGAGCTGCCCTTGGCACACCAGGGGTCCCCCAGAATCTCCCTGAGGGGGAGAAACCAATGGAGACGCCCATGGACGGAGCGTCAGAGCCTTGTGTGAGGAGAAGTCGGAGAAGTCGAGAGAGATGGAGATGGGGAAGCACAAGGGCTGACACCCAGGGGTAAGGGAGGGGGAGTGGAGGGACTCTGCTGATATCAGCCCTGGGGTTGGGGGTCACTGCCTCCCTTCTTCTCTGGTTGCTGCTGCCTCTGGGTTTTGCTGAGCTCTTCTTTGTCTTTGCCCTGACTCCACAGAACCGTGTGTATCTCATTATATTCCTCTGTCTTTGGGGTCATCTCCCAGGGGTGGATGTCTGGCGGCCCTGATCACAGATTTCTGGGTGTCCATATTTAATAGTGACAATGACAGCCGTGATCAGAGCTGTAGGCAGGTGCTGCTCTGCACTCTTTCTCTTTCTGTGGACGTGAACCACCTCATCTAATTCCACCCACGGCTCCTAAAGGTGCCACCTCTGCTTGACAGATAAGGAGACTGAGGCACAGAAGGATTAGGTTCCTTGCAAGAGCTTATAGCTGGGAGGGAGCCTGGTTGTTCTAATCTCTCTCTGGGTCTCGGGGGGCCCGCCCCTCTGATTTTCATGCTCCTGAGATGCTTTTGTACTGAGGTCCCAGCCCCAAGCCCTCCCCTGCCTCCAGCTCTCACCCTGGGCCTCACCTGACAAGAGTCCTTTCCACCATTGGGGACCCCGGCACAGACCATACCGGCAGTGATGGCTCCGGGGTAGGCGTTCTTACACTGCTGGTTGGAGGCGATCTCGATGTTCACACACTGCAGATTGTTGGGGTAGCTGGCTGGATAGGCACTGAGGGGTCATGACTTGGGTCTACCCTCCAACAGGACCCAGGAATATGGGGACCCACCTCCTCCTCCTTCAGACCCGGGACCCCAGCCCCCAGAGCCTCCCCTGCCTTCAGGACACAGGGTTCCTCACCGATGGGACTGGATGTGGTGCCCCAGCCGGACACAAGGCAGGAGGTGCCAGGGCGGGCACAGCTCTGGGCCAGAGTGATGGGCCTCACTGCCTGCCCCAGCTGTGCAGGCCGACTCAGGTGCAGAAGCATCAGATCGTTGTCGTTGGTCCGATGGTTGTACTGGGGATGTGGCACCTGGCGCACCACACGCAGCACCTGCTGTGTGGCCTCGTTCTTATTCTTCAGGTTTTGCTTGCCCAGGGCAACCCGCAGGTTCCTGGACCAGGACCCGCAAGAGCAGCACTGTTCATGATATGGCCTGGAGACACCTCCCCACACTCCAGCCCCATACCGTCCAACTGTGGGCTGAGCGCTTGCTGGCCTCCTGGGCCTTTCCTGTGGCCTGGGTAGTAGGCTCCCTTGGCCCAGTCCCACTGTCCTCCCTTGCTCTCTTGAGCTAGACTCCCAGGTCTGAGGGAGGAGAGGCTTCTGGCTTCTGGCTTCTGGCTTGGGTGTACAGTGATGGTTGGGAGTTCTTGGCCAGTGCCAGGTTCTATGCTCTGTGTTCTAAGCCAGGCCCTGGCTACAGCTCTAGACTCTAAATCAGAACTGATATTCTGGCCTAGGCTCCAGGGAGGGTCCATACTGGTTCTAGCCTGGTTTCTGGGTTCTGAACATTCTGGACTTTGAAGTCTAAGCTGGGATTGGAGTTCTAGACTGAGTTGGGATTGTGGCATGCTTTCCAGACACTGGTGTGAGCTTTCAGTTTTAGGGTAAGTTGATGGTTTTGTTTTGAGCTCTGCATTACAGCTGGAATCTGGGCTCTAGATATTGATTTCAGCTTTTAGTTTTGGGGTAGGGTGAAGATGTTATATTGACAACTGGATTAAGACCTGAGCCATGGGCCCTGGCTGGTGTGGCTCAGTGGATTGAGCACCAGCCTGCAAACCAAAGAGTCACCTGTTCGATTCCCAGTCAGGGCACATGCCTGGGCTGTGGGCCAAGTCCCCAGTAGGGGGCGCATGAGAGGCAACCACACATTGATGTTTCTCTCCCTCTCTTTCTCCCTCCCTTCCCCTCTGTCTAAAAATAAATAAATAAAATCTTAAAAAAAAAAAAAAAGACCCACGCTATGGATTCTGGACAGTGATATGAGCTCCACTTTCTAGGTTGAGTTCTGGGTTCTTGCTTAAGTTCTGATCTATAATCTGAGCTTTAGGCCATGGTTTGGGCTTAGGGTTTTCAACATTGTTCTGAGTTCTTGATTCTAGAGTGGGCTGTGTTTCACACTGAAATATACTTTAGTTTGAGCTTTTGATTCTAGATTCCAGTCAGAGCCCTTGACCTCAGGTTGGGTCTGGGTACTAGATGGAACCCTTGGATCCAAGTTTCCAGATGCTGGTTTGCCTTCTGGGCTTTATATCCTAGGCTCTGGGCTGAGTTCTGGGCTCTAGGTTCTCAACTTGAGCTTCAGTTTACGGCATTAGATCTGGTTCCTAGGCAGTACGATGAGTATCTGGAGCCTAGTTTCTTGGTTTAGTTCTAGAATCTTAGAGGGGTTATGTGCCCTGTGTGGGGTTTCAGATTATAGCCTGCATTCTGGGATTTAGATGCTGGGTTGAGGTCTGGGATCTAGGCTGCTCAAAGGGGAGCTATAGACTGGACTCTGAACTAAACATTGGATCTAGAGGGGGCTCCAGGTTCTGATTCTCTCCTACATGCTGAGCTGTATGATCCACCTGTAAGCGGGGTTCTGGATTTATGGCTGGACTATAGGGTCTGATCCAGACTCTGTATTAGAATGTTTCATGGAGTCTTGCTATGTGTTCTGACCTTGACTGCATTCTGCAAAAAGCTCTTTTCAAACACTAGACAGTGTTCTGAGAGTGGTCCTGGGTTTCTAAATGGAGATCTTGGCCCTGGCTGGTATGGCTCAGTGGATTGAGCACCAGCCTGCAAACCAAAGGGTCACCTGTTCGATTCCCAGTCAGGGCACATGCCTAGGCTGCGGGCCAAGTCCCCAGTAGGGGGTGCATGAGAAGCAACCACACACTGATGTTTCTCTCTCTCTCTTTTCCTCTCCTTTCCCCTCTGTCTAAAAATAAATAAATAAATAAATAAATAAATAAATAAATAAATAAATACCTTGCTTCAAATTCATCCAATTCCAGAATTCACCAATCTAGAATTCTTAGTCTCTACGTGGAGCCTGGCCTCTGTATGGATCTCAAGATGACACATTAGGTTCTAGGTTCCGTGTGGGCCTCCAAGCTGGCAAATGGGTCCTACACTGTCAACCCACTTTCAGAATCTAATGTGAGTTCAAGATGTATGGTGGGTTCTAGGCTTTTCTCTAGACACCGCCCCCCCAACTGGGACCCAGCTACTACTTTGGGTTCTGGACCAGGGTCCACGTTCTCAGCTGAGCCCTGGGGCTCCAGGCTGGAATTCCCTTGTCATGAGAATAGGGGAGAGCATCACTCACCGGCGGGAGCAGTGAGCAGCGGTGATGACCCACCGGTCTGACAGCAGGGCCCCTCCGCAGAGGAAGCGACAGGTGACACCCACCAGCAGGGCTGCTTGCCACGGCTGGGAGTGCGGGATGCATGGGTAGCCACCAATTATCTTGTTATCCCCTTGGCCCTGTGCCATGGCTAGGAACAGGGAGGGGTGGGGTGGGCAAGCAGGTGAATAAATGCCCTCCACCCCCCAGAAATCTAGGATGTCCAGGACCCAAATCCTCTTTTCTTGGCTTAACCCTTGAACCACCATACCTGTCTGCCATGGCCAATATGAGATAAGCCCAACATGGCCCCACTGCCTCGACACAATAGGGAGCGCACCGAACCCCACCCCCTTGTCTGATCCAGGGTCTTGCTACGTGTTCTGCCCTTGAGTGCATTTTGCAACAAACACTTTTCATTAATCATTCTCCAACACACTCAAGGAGCTCCCTGCCCCTTCCCCAAATTTCCCACACACCCACTCTGTATGCACGCCACGTCCCTGCCATGAGCTCACCACCCCATCCTCACCGCCACCACCGCCACTGTTTCCGACAGCATGCCGTTTTTCCCTGAGCTAGTTCTTCCTGACACAGTGCAGGGCACCCTGGGGCCCTCCTTTCTTTCATGACCCGTGAGACCTCCTGATACAACCACAGGTCTGCACTTAAGCTCCCCTCCAGCAAGTTCCTCAGACTTGATTTCCAAACTACCCCCCACTCCCATCACCACATCCCCCATGAGCATCCTGGGTCCCCAGGGCCCCTTGTCCCTCCTTTCTCAGCATTTCCAGGGGACTCCATAGCCCTGGCCCCATTGCTGTCTTACCTACAGCCAAGATCTGAAGTGCAGCCAGCAGGAGGAACATTCTGGGTGCTGGGGGCTGGGTTCTGGCAAAGACAGAGAGAAAGTGAGGGAGAAGGAGGCGGTGAGAGACCCAGAGGTTGAGGGACAGAGACAAGAGCCTCTCACACAGAGCCTGAGACCCTGAGAGGCATGGATACTGGACAGAGTGAGGGCCTGAGGTCCTTGGTGGCTGGAGGTGGGATGCTGAACAAGGTTCGCGTCCAGTCCGGCCCTGGTGTCTCCCCGTGTGGAGGAAGTGGGGGTGGTGCATCACCTCTCTGTCACTCCGTGGAGGCCTTTTATCCCTGGTCTGGGCAGTTGGACCTGCCCCCCCACCACACCCTTTTCCTGACATTTTTTTAGAATTGCTTAGTTCCCATTCCAAGACTCACTCCTACCATCTCCTCCCTCCCCTCTCTGGCCAGGGAAGCAGCCACAGTTGTTAGTGAGAACCCGCCTGGCCAGTGGCAAGTATGTGACAGTGTGGAAGGGATCCAGAGAGGGGTATCTCAGGGAAGGGTGGATGAGGAGGCGATGGGGGCTCAGGAGAAGGTGCTGGGAGGGGTTGAGAGAGGGCGTGGCAGAGGCTGGAAGTGTGAGAGAAGTCACACTCAGGTGGAGAGGGAAGGAAAGGCTGAGGAAAATACAGGCCCAGAGCGACGTGAGGAAGGCAGAACTGAGAGTGATGGGGCGGAGGAGGCCGACTGAGAAAGAGAAGACCGGGGAGGGAGGCCCAGAGAGAGAGAGATTCATGGAGAGACGGAGGAGGCAAAGCAGAGCGAGAGGCAGAGAAAACAGGGAAGAAGGTGAAGACGGAACAGAAGCAGGCCCAGAGCAAGAGAAGCAGGGAAAGAGAGAGCCAGGAAGTGGAGGTGGCCCCTCCCCCAAACACACACCTGCGGCATAAGGGCCGTGATGATGGAAGGAGGTGCAGAGAGGCAGAGAGGCCATCGAAGGAGAGCAGGAAGGCGACAGGAGAGAGAGAGAGAGAGAGAGAGAGAGAGAGAGAGAGCACGCGAGCGCAGGGGGAGAGAGAGCAGGGGGAGTCAGCAGGAGCCAGGCCGTCCTGTTTCCCTTGCTGGCTCCCTTTGTGGTCCTCACAGTCCCCAAAGGTGGGCAGATGGCGAGGCTCAGTGCGGAACGGGAGAGTAGGATACAGAGACGGAGTAAGAGATGCAGACCCAGACAGAGAAGGGCAGGGTCCCAGAGAGAACACGAGACGCAGAGTAGTGAGACGAGGAAGGGTCCCGGGGGACACCGAAGATGGAGCCCTGGGTTTGGGGGACACATGCAAACTTGGGGCCTGTTCCGAGCGCTCAGCCCCTCCCCCAGCCTCTTAAACTTCCTAATGACTGCAATTTGTCTCTGGGCCTGGGCAGCTCCTCCCTGGACCACCACGCGGTGACTCAGGAGGCCACCTCTCCGTGCTGTCCCTCCCTCACCGGCCCAGGGCTGGCTCCCAAACCGCCGCCCGCCCCCCTCTGCCCGGGCTGCCAAGAGCTTGTCTCTGCCCTTGGGGACTCGCTCTGTGCCTCTGAATGCACACGCCCGGCTGGCCCCTGTGCACACCTGTGTCTTGTGAACACGCCCTGCCGATGGGCCTCGCTGCTTTCTACTGCAGGCCCTGGTGACTCCGAAGGGCGAGATACCCTGTGAGATGCCGAACCCCCTTTTGTAAAGAAAGAATTCTCTGGGAACAGCTTGGTGGGAGGCCTGAGGGGCCTGCTCTGTGATGAGTGATTGCTTCTGTATCTTACACAGAGCGATGAATAGGTTAAAGTTACACAGAAACACACGTGTACACCCGTGCATACACGCACGGGCAGACGGATCAGTACGTGTGAGCACTGGGCGCGCAGTAACACCCGGAGTCTGGCGGACAGCACCGGTGCCCCGGCAACTGCCTCGGTGTGGTGTCGGACCACGGTTACCCAGATGGCAGCCCGGGGAGCTGGGTGACGGCCTCACGGGACTGTCTGCACTATTCGGGTAACTTTCCGTGAATCTATAGCTATTTCAGAATAAAGAGTTAGCAGCATAACAGCGTCATAACAGCATCTCCTGGTAAACACGAGCCTCCCACCCTAGTTTGAGCAGAAAGCTTGGATAAGATGGACCCTCCGTGGAGCTTGTCTCCAAGGTGTTCCTTGTGCTGAGAAGAACACTCAGCGGGAGCTGTTGGCCACAGGGAGCCCACGGGAGACCAGAAGGCTGGGGATGCAACCGTGTACTAGGCTCATAACGGCCTACTGCTGCCCTTCCCGGCCTTCAAGCCTCTCAGGGCCACTTCCAGGGTATCCTTCCGCCAGACTAAACCCTGCTCCCCACTCCACTCGTTTACACAGCATGGGCTAAGATGTGAGTGCTCTAATGAATGAATGAACGAACGAATGAATGAATGAACATATGGCCACAGTCCTGGCCTTCAGGGAGCTCATGGTCTCGTGGGAAAGGCCAACAGGGCCTCTGGGACAGGGAGGGGTGGTGTCCAAGGGCCTGATGGAGCCCCAGGAGTGGGAAGACCCTGGTGGTGAGCCGGGGCCTGCGGGTGAGTAGGAGCTCACGGTGGGGGGAAGTGGGGGGGGTAGGTGTGTGAAGGAGGGGAGCGATTCTGAGTGAGTGCAGACCTGCAGGACGGAGGGTGGTGGCAGAGCTCAGGGTGCTGGAGGGGGAGGAGGAGGGAGAAGCAGAAGCCCAGGGTGACTGGGCAGGGAGGAGAAGGGCCCTTAGCGGCCTCACTGCAGATCTAGGTCTGAGCTGCCGGGGTACAGACAGCGATGGGTGTTAGCTGTACCGATGAAACGGGACAGCAGAGCTCGGAGCCCACCTAAGGAGAATAGGTTGAGTGAGAAGACTAGGGACCCCAAGTCAGGCCTCCAGGGGGTGAAAAGAGGCTGCTGGGGTGGGGGGGAGCATTGTGAGAGGCTGAAAGGGAGCCCTGGGTGAGCTGGAAGGAAAGTCAGGAGAGAGGTGTCAGGGAAGTTGAGGTGACTCTTTAAGGAGGAAGTGGCATGGGTGGAGGTCAAACAGACCTGGGCTGTTCAAAAGTTTAAAAAAGTTAATTTGCACCCTGGCCGGGTAGGTCAGTGGGTTAGTGTGTCATCCCCATACACCAAAGTTGTGAGTTCGATCCCCAGTCAGGGCACAGACAAGAATCAGCCTATGAATGCATGAATAAGTGGAACAACAAATGGATGTTTCTCTCTCTCTCTCAAATCAATAAATAAAATGAAAAAGTTAAAAAAATAAAAAATTCATGTGCTTTTTTATTATAAAATATTCATAACCCACTTCTCCCATTTTAACCATTTTTAAGTGTATAGTGCAGGGGCATTAAGCGCATTCACACTGCTGAGTAGCCACCACCCACCCCCACCCCCAATGTTTTTGGCTTCCCCAGCAAAAACTCGGCACCCAATAAACACTAACTCCCCCTGCCTGGCAGCCTCTGCTCTGTTTTCTGTCTCTGTGAACTTAACTACTCTTGGCACCTCACACAGGTCGTCCCTTCGTGTGTCTGGCTTCACTTTGCATTGTGTCTGCAAGGTCCGTCCACCTGGTAGCCTGTGTCAGAATCCCCTTCTCTTTTAAGGCGGAATCGTATTGGAATACCACGGTTTGTTTATCCAGGTAAGTGCTTTATAAGGGTTAGCTTCTTTCTTCCCTCCTTCTCTCCCTTCCTTCCTTCCTCTCTCCCTTTCTCCTTCCCTCGCCTGCCTGCCTCCCCTTCTCCCTTCCACAAATATTTATTGAGTGCCTACCATATACCCGTCGCAGTTCTGGGCCCTAGGGATAGGGCAATAAACCAGATAGACAGATATTCCTGCTCACTGATGTTGCCATTCTCAAAGAGGGGGCTACCAAGAGAGAGAAAGTTAAAGGAATACAGTAGGCGTTCTCCCTCCCAGGAGGGCATCCCGAGAGTTTCTCCACTCCCTCATCTTCCCCGCCAGTCGCCTTGTGGTCTGTACTTCCCTTTCTCCTAAGCTCCAAAGACCCCTTCTTTTGCCTCTGTAACATGTTCCCTGAGCCCATGAATTCTACTGCTCATGCCTTCTACCTCTGTGACTTTCTAAATACTTATAGTTTGAAAAAAAAAAGAAATACAATATGTAATAGAAGTTGAGAGTGCTATGAAAAATAGTAAGAAATAGGGTAGGGAGATAGGGTTAGGGAAGCCCTGACCCGAAGTGACCTTTGAGCAGTGGCCTAAAGGTAGTTGGGGAATGAGCCAAAGGGTTCTCTGGGGGAAGAGTGTCCCAGGCAGAGGGAGCAGGGAGGGTGGAGGCCCTGAGGTGGGGGGAAGTCTGGCATATCTGTGGACCAGAGGGGAGGCCAGCATCCCTGGGGCAGAAGAAAATAAGGCCAGTGAGGTCATGGGAAGTCCAGCCTCCATGAGATGCTAGGTGCTGTCTTGTTCTCATGTTACAGACTGAGAAACTGAGGCCGAGAGAGAGGAAGACATTTGTCCAAGGCTACCCAACTGGTAGGTGCAGGAGGACGAACAAATTGCAGGACTGTCTGAACTTCTGCTCCACGCTCCGAACCTTCTGTTGTCTTTGGAGGTGATCTGAGGACTTCACTCCTTTTGAGCACTGATTTTTGTGTCCAACATGGTTGTTTCCTGTTTTTGTTTTCGTGTTTGTGGCTTAAGATCCAGAAATTTATTTTCTCACAGTTATGGAGGCCAGAGTCCAGGGTTAAGGTGTTGGCGGGTGTGGTTTCTCCTCACGCCTCTCTCCTAGGTTTGCAGATGACTATGTTTTCCCTGTGGTCACAGAGTGGTGGTCTCACCGTGTGCCCTGTTCTGTGTCTCTCTGTCCAATGCTGTTTAAATGCATTTTTTAAATCAGTTAACCCACTGAACCCTTCCTTCCCATGGTCCCGTGAGAAAGGGACTCATTATCCTCAAGGCACTGAGGAGGAAGTAAAGTCACCTCCCCAGGTTACCCAACCACTAAGTGTTGGCACCCCAATTCGATCCCCCGTGGAGAGCTAACAACCCCAAGGGTAAGATGCCCGAGAACAAAGGGGCAGATGGTGCAACCTCCTGAGTGGTGGGATCAGCCCTACGCATCAGCCCCACAGATGCCTCTGCCATTGTTCCAGGAAGAAAGGAGGAAAGGGTGAGTGAGGTGGCAGGCAGGGTGTGGGTTAGGTGGCAGGAAATGGAGGGAGGGCCCCTGGGGTGGCTCCTGTTTCCTCCGGGGAGACAGGGAAACCAGAGGCCACCTCATCTCGCCGGACACCCAGGCAGGTGGGGTTGGGGCGGTGACCTGCAGGG